ATTAAGGTTCTTAACCTACTTATACAGGGTGACAAACATGGTTTCAGTTGTCTGAAGGAGATGTCCAGTTTTTGCAGCAATATTTGTTAAAGAGGCTGTCTTTTCTCCATTGTACGTTTTTGGCAACTTTATAAAAAATTAGGTAGGCATAGCTGTGTGGATTCATATACAGGTCCTCTATTCTGTTTCACTGATCTTCATATGTGTTTTTGTGCTAGTACCATGCTGTTTTTTTATTGCTATTGCTCTGTAGTATAGTTTGAAGTCAGGTTTTGTGATACCTCCAGCATTGCTCTTTCTGCTCAGTACTGCCTTGGCTATTCATGATCTTTTGTGTTTCCAAATGAACTTTAGGGTTGATTTTTTGATCTCTGTGATAAATGTAATTGGGATTTTGATTGAACGTGTAGATTGCTTTTTGTAGTATAGACATTTTTACTATGTTGATTCCGCCAATCCATGAGCATGGTAGATCTTTCCATTTTCTACAGTCTTCTTCGATTTCTTCAATGGTTTGTAGTTTTCCTAGAGGTCATTCACATTCTTTGTTAAATTTATTCCAAGGTATTTGATTTTTTTGAGGATATTGTAAATAGAATTGTTTTCCTATATTCTTTCTCAATCTGTTCAGTGTTGTTATATAGAAAGGCTACTGATTTTTGTAAGTTGATTTTGTATCTTGTTACTTTGCTGAAACTGCTTATGGTGTTTAGGAGTTTTTGGGTGGACTTTTTCAGGTCTTTTAGGTATAAGATCATGTCATGTGCAAATAGGGATAGTTTGACTACTTCATTACCTATTTGTATTCCTTTTATTTCTTCTTCCTGTCTTATTGCTCTGGCTAGGAATTCTATGACTATGTTGAATAGGAGTGGGGAGAATGGGCACCCTTATTTCGCTCCTGATTTTAGGGGAAATTGTTTCAGTTTTTCCCAATGAAGTGTGATATTGGCTATAGGTTTATTATATATAGCCTTTATTGTGTTGAAGTACATTCCTTCTATTCCTAGTTTCATCAGGGCTTTTATCATGAAATGGTGTTGAATCTTATTGAAGGCTTTTTCTGCATCTATTGAGATGACGAAGTGGTGTGCTATATTAAAGATTTTCGTATGTTGAACCATCCCTGTATCCAAGGATGAAGCCAACAGATCTTTCTGATATGTTGTGGGATTTGGTTTGCCATTATATTATTGTGGATTTTTGCATCAATGTTCACTAGGGAGATTGGCCTATAGTTCTCCTTTTTGGATGTGTTCTACTCCACCAGCCCTTAAGCTTTATATTATACTTTTAATTTACTTGGGAATTTTATCAAGAGATTTTCTGCATCTTTTCATAAAATCATATGGGATTTTTGGTTGGTAATTTTTCTAACATTGAATTATTTTCATATTTTTAGAGTGAAATCTACTTGGGATTTTGAGTTTGTTTGCCCTACAACATAGTCATAATTATATTCAAACTATGTATTGTACCTCAGATTACTTGAATATATATGTACTTTTTTGTGAGGCATTCATAGCACCCACTACATAACTCAAGCCTATAATCTTAAACTTTGACTTTTCTTTTTCACAAACTCTGAACCACTCTTCTTATTAGAATAGGACAGTTCATATCTCCTGTCTTCATCCTTTACTCTCCACCAGGACTGCCTACACCCACTGGTTTTCCAGCCTTCCTACCTGGTCTTTATGAACCATTTCATTAGCACTTTGTATTCTTCTTTTTCTTTGCTATATCCTATCTCAAATGTCAAATTTGCCATTTTAGATTGCAAACTTTTCAAAATCAAGGAAAAGTGTGTTTAAAGATCAAACTGTATGTGAAATACGATAGAGGCTACAAGGATAGATGTCTTTAAGATTACATGATGTGGCCAAGTCGAAGCATTTGTGGGGACCTGTAACAAAGTAGTCTTAGCCATGAACAGTTTGTTCTCTCCTTCTCCTGTGACAGCTAATCTAATTTGGTACCTTCTTTCACCAGGAACCTAAGAGTGCTCTTTAGAATCCTTCCCAATACAGTGCTCCAGGAAACTGTTACAATTGATTAAAACTGGAATTTAAAATGAAACCTTGTCTACTCAGGAGCTATAATAATGAAATATAGACTGCAATATAACTGAGGTACAAAGTCATTAGGAGAGCAGGAAAGAAAGACTAATCATTGTGAAAGAATAATCTGAGAAGGCCTCACAGAGATGATACTGGAGTAGAATCTGAAATTATGCGTAAGACTTTGACAAATGAAGATTTGGAGAAATGGAGCATAAAGAAAATCAACCTGAGCCCAGCAGTGAGTATTACAAAAAATTGCAACACTGAATTTCAGAACAAATAAGATAAGAAAAAGATTGAAGAATGGCAACACAGGCTGAGGAGAATTTCAGCCTGTGGGCAACAGGGAACTATCACAGGCTTTTGAAGAGAGAAGCAATAGAGGCAGGCCTCATTATTTAGCAAATACTTATTGCCTGTCTTTCATGTTTATGTTCTGGTCTAAGTGCTTAGATTTTGAAGTGAACAAAACAGGGCCTTTTCTCTCTATGTGATGGATACGAGTAAGAAAATTCTTAGGTATTGGGATTGTTTCATTAACAGTTCACTTTAAGCATAAGAACATGATCTAGTTCAAACAAAAGATGGATTTGAGGGATACTGAGGAGATTCAAGCAACTGAATTTGCCAGCTGACAAGATGTGGTAGATGTGGAAAGTGGATGAATGAGTCACGTGGAAATTCAAGTTAAGTTCATGGTAAGATGGAAATGCAGCAGTAGAGAGCAGAAATGAAAGGAAGAGCAAGTTCCAGACCACCATCATGTCAAGCTCCAAGGATATCTCCAATCCTATTTTTAAAAAATCAAGGATTTAAGTGGCTCTAGAGAGACATTCTTCAGACTTCTTGTAACAGTTCCAAGAAGAAAGCCACCAGGTTTTCTATAATTATATGGAAAAACAGTAGGCATATTTAATTGTAAAGTACCACTTTAAAAAATGTTTGTTAAGTTTCCAAACACAAGGATTTATTAGAAGAGATGTGTCCAGAGTGCTAGACACATACAGCCCTAAAACAAACATGGTTGTCCTTTTCAGTATTTTGAATGACATATTCAGCTTGTTTGCTTTGGTAATCTACTTTTGAGACCATGGAAATAGACCTTTCATAGCATTTATCACAATCAGGAGTTAATAGCATGTGCAGTTATGTTTAATGTCCATCTTCCTGCTAAGCTATAAGCTCTGTATAGGCGGAAGCCAGACCTGTTTTTTCACAGGTGTATCCCTGACATTTAGCAGAGTCCTGGCAAGGGGCAGGTAATCTGTACATATTTTTAAATGGATGAACCAAGACAGTAATAACTAAAAAGCTTCATTTTTAACTGCTACCAGCAGCTTTTGCATTTTCAGAGGTTAATTAGAGAAAGAACAGCAATGAAAAGGAAAGATTGTCTAATGTGGATCCTTAGGCAGTGAGTATCTGGGTGGGGAGGACAACTGGACATTCTAGGAACCTTTCTGTCTCATCTTTCCACATTCTGCACTTATTATTCCACTGTGATTTACAAATAAATAACACAGCATTTTTTTTTGTAGATACAAATGCTACTTATTTTAATTCAGGTTTTGTTGCTGTAAAAAAAAAATACCTGACACTGGGTAATTTATAAAGGAAAGAGCTTTACTTGGATCACAGATCTGTAGTCTAGGAAGGCAATGGAGTCTGCTTAACTTCTGACGAGGGTTAGCTTGCTTTGTAACAATCTACTCTCTCAGTAACCAATCCCATCCCATAAGAGTGTGAATTCACTCCAGGGAGAACAGCTTTATCTCCCCAACTCTGCTATATTGGCAACCAAATTTCAACATGAGTTTTGCTGGGAAAAACCATATCCAAGTCACAGTACTACCTCTCATAGTAAGTTTTTCAAATTACTCAAATCAAAATTAACCTCTCCTGTTTCTGCTGGCCCACTCTTTTCCCTCTGGTTCTCTAAACTAAATTTCTAGATTCCAAATGATGCATCCAGTAAACATATAGGAATTCAAGAGCTAAACTAGAGTGATTACTTCATGCTCTATGGGATTAATTTCTTTTTCTTTTTTTAGTTGTTGAGTTGATCTACCTTTATTTTCATTTACAGATCTGGAGATAAAAGTAAACACTATGATTTTCTGACAGGTTTGGTGCAGACTATCTGGCTCTTCTAAGGAAGATATGGCAAATTTTGGTGTCCAATCCCTGGCATCGTAAGTGCTGTACACCCAGCAGCAGTAGCAAAGGCATAATGTAACTGGTATTTTTCTACCTCTTTAGTATCCAAGTCTGGTCCTCTTGCCTGACCTTTCTGTTTAAATTACTTATAGCAGATTCTGTGTTCTCCAACCTAGAACCTTCCTTCAATCAAAATTGATAGAAGTGTATGTATTCGATAGATCTTCAGGGAAGTGGTTATCTAGATTATATAATTATTATTAGAGAATGTGATACAAAAATATCATGATATAGCTACATATTCACCTGGTCATGGGTAACCTTACTGAAGATATAAGGCTTTGGTAGACCAAAAGACTGCTGGGATAGATAATGACATTATGAGGTTATAGGAAATGAAGGAGAGAGGTGGCTTTTAAAAAGAAAGAAGTAACCAGCTGAAAGCTTTAAATTCAGAGAGATTAATAACTACATAGTATAAACAAAACTGTCTCAGGTAAACTTGGATGCATGGCTACAATAATTAATGTTAGCCTTCAGTGAACCAGAAAGCAAAAACATCTAATTTCAAAACTTACTATAGTTTTTATTTTATTTATTTATTTATTTTAGCACTCTAGATTCAATTCTGGGATTCTGATTTTCCAGTAGCCTAAACCAAATAAAATGGTTCTATAAACACCCAGACAGAAATGGCAACTTTTGCTGCTGTTGGAAAGTATACAAAATTCAGTGCTCTTAGAATGCCTTTTTTGGACTCCTACAATACTGATTACTCACCCATGCCTTGTCCGCTGAATAGGTTGTTCTGTGCACCATCCTTCATTACCACTGATACCTTTCCACCTACACATACAGTTCATAAAAACCTGAGTCAAAGCAAACAAAATTCTCTTTTCTTCCACTTATGTGCATAGAACACTCCCTTCCCTTTTGCAATAGACGACATAACCAGGCTTTGGGTTGCAAAATACAAATTGTGATGATGAAAGCATGGGTGGGTGTCACAGCAATTGTTTAACTTCCCCTTAAATACTATCCTCTCTGCATCTTTGTTTCCTAGTCTTGAAAACAGTGTAATGGATATCTCACAAAGGACTATTCTGATTATGGACAAAATATGTAAAAGTGCTTTTGTAAATATAAGAAATTATTTAAATATAAGTAGTTACCCAGGAGGAGGTGATCAGAAAAACTGTAATAAAATAACGGAAATATTATAGAAGTTGGAGCACAAAGGCTTGGATATAAGGCATAGCTGTTCTGCTAAACTGCTGTGAGGCAGAGAGAAAGAATTCTGAGCTCTGGAGGCCTAATTTTCCTCTTCCTTTAAAAGCAGAGTTGTGACCTTTTAAGAAATAATGTAATTGAAATTGCTTTGGAAAATGTCAAGAAATTTATAAAGAAGATTCTTCCTGCTTTTTGAAAATTATATATATTATGTATATGCTATTACCAGTTTTCACTAATGGTTAAGTAGAGATAGAAAGAAGCTAATTGATCTTGCCTGGTTTAAGTCTTAGGCCTTTGATCCTCTTGTATTACTTCTTAATGACAGTTATCCTTACTATTTCAACAAAAATAATATTTGTTGGATCTGAGCACAAGACAGATTTTATTTTGTATTACTCCTCTGACCTGTTGTCTTTTGATGAGTCCCCCAAACATTCTTTTTCTTCTTCAAAGAAAATCGAATTTCATTAAAAAGCACAGAGCTGACAGCAAATAAAACAATTTCAAGCAGAATGGATTTGTCAAAAATAGGTACCCTGCAGTAATTAGTGATTAATATTATCTTTCTTGACATGTATATTTTTGCCAACAAATCTTTCAACAGATTAAGACCAGTTCTAGATTTCCAAAATTTGGGCAATACACATGGGAAAACACTTAGTTTTTGAGGGTTTGATTTTTTGAGATACAATCTCAGTGAGAGAAGTTATGTAGCAGATATTTTGCTTGATGCTAAACATTTGGGATTTTGCTGGAAAAAAAATGCATTCACATCTAGAAAACTGTTAATACCCAGATCCCTAGCCTTATCAGCTTTTGTGAAATTCCAACCAAAAAAAATCCTATTTATTAGACTGAAATGCTTGGCTCCACTTTTGGAACAATAGTGTTCCCTGCTTTTTCAGTAAATTGCAAAGTGCTTTTTATATTGATTTCTTCTTTGAAACCTTATTGTTTCTTTCAAAATTAACTCCAGGAAAATCCAAAGAAGCAAAGTATTATTTTGGTATTTCTAAAAACACTAATGTGGTTCTTCTGGAGCATTTGTATTGGCATGAGAAAATGGTTAGGAAGAAACAGGGAGGTGAAGAACAGGATGCAAAACTGCATACCATATATGAACTAGATTAATTATACTTGTGCACTGAAAAAAGATGAGAAGAGTATATTGGGATATATATGTGGATGATGAGATTAAGAGTGATTTTATTTACTTCCTGTTTTTTAGAAGTTTTCAAATTTTCAACAGATGTGTACTCTATATTGCTCTAGTAACTTAAAGTCTCTAAAATAAAAAATACTATTCTCTGCTGCTTCTGCCCTTGATGACTTTCATAAAGATACTGTAGGATACAGTTTTGTGAACTTGCTCTTTTTGTCCTGTACTAGAGATTGAACCCAGGGCCATGAGCATGGTAGGCAAGCACTCTACCACTTGGGCCACCTCCAGCCACAAATTTGCTCGATTCAACAATTTTGCCTTCCTATGAGGTGAAGCACATCATTATGCCATTTTTATTCATATACGAGTTTAAAATAAAACTCATGTACATGTCATACCTTTAAACAATCTCATAGTCACAGATGCACAGCTGGGGTTGGAGCAGGATTTCATGCACTCAGCTGTGCAAATAGCACATTATTCCTCATAGGTAAACACCAAAGTACAAACATGGAATTGCTCATGGAGCCTGGCACAATGTAGCCCTCAGTGAATATTGTGATTTTTTATTTACCATCTTTACAAACCATTGTAGAAGAAATCATTTAAAAGTTTTCAAGCAGCAAGTATAAAATAAATATCCATCAGTCTACACTAAAATAAATGAATTGAATACATACATAAAATTGGGGACAACTGACAAATATATAGAGCAAAAGGACTCAAAATAATTTATTCAGATACTCTTTCTCAAGGAAACAGAGCATAACTGCCCTTCCCTTTCCTTAAATGATAGTTCATGTTATCAGTTGTACCCTTGATAAGATGTGATAAGAACACTTTACTTCTGGGATCTTCCTCCCTTAGATACATAGCGCCTGTCTGTCCATAAGAGAAATATCTGACAAAACCAAACTTAAGAACATGAATGTTCTATAAAATACTTGACCAGTACTCCTCAAAACTGTCAAGGTTATCATAAAAAACAAGGAAAGCCTGAAACACTGAGGACCCTAAGGAGATACAAAGTCTAAAGGAAGTGTAGTATCTTGGACGAGATTTCAGAAATGGGCCATAAATGAAAACTAAGGAAATCCAAATAAAGTATGGACTTTAATTGATAAGAGTGTATCAATATTGGTTCATTAATTGTGACAAATGCGCCGTGCTAATGAAAGATGTTAACAACAGAGAAAACTGGATGTGAAGTGTAGGGAAATCTTCACAACTCTTCTGTAAATCTAAAACTATTCTAAAATAAAAAGGCTATTTGCAAAAAAGTTTCTGTGCAGTTAAATCTGTTGTATAAGTAACCTAGACTTTGTTAAGGGCCAACTATGCGCAGTAAGCATAATGACAAACTTATTGAAGGCATATTATTAATAAATTAGTGTAACCCTCCTCACCATCCCTTTTCCTTTCCCCATTTCACAGATGAACTGAGGGTGATTATTTAAAATATACATTTATACATTAATTGTGCTTAATCAAGATAATTCTCTAGTAGTGCTTATGTAAATAATTTTAACTCCAGGCAACTCTGAGAAGGATGACAAAAGTAGGAAGAAGTCATAAGACATGGCTTTTACTTCCAATTCCTCTATAAAACTGGCTTTATTACTGCAAAGAACTTACCTCTTTGACCTTCAAAACCTTATCTGAAAGAGGACATTGATCTACATTACTTCCAAATTTCCTTCTAGCTTTCAAAATGAAAAAGAGTCAGTTATAGCAGATTTTTTTCTTCTTCAAATCCATCATTTAAAAGTTCATTTTCTCATCTTTCAATGTGGCAGTAGGGAAGCTAAGGTTTGAGGCCAGCATGGGCTGTATAGGGAGACACTACCCCAAACAAAGTGGGGGAATAAGGTTAAAAATAGTACCTACTTGGTAGAGTTTTTTAGTGAAGATTAAATTATGATAATATCCTATGTTAAAAATAAAATATTTTTATTTTCATGAAAGATGACTATGAAAACTTGATGATGTGAAGGACAGACGAGTATTGATTGGAGACTTTAAGACATTCAGAAAGGAAGTACTTTAAAGGAGAAAAGTCTGGGCAGCTGTAGGAAGTCATTTTTCAGTGATAAATATTGAGATTTCTCTATTTTCCCAGCTCTTCCAAACTCTTTGCCCATAATTTGAAATGTTCTTCCTGAGTGTAATTTTTGTGATGAAAGTATGTCATTCTCAATTTTTCATATTTACAGTGAGCAAGAGGGGTTATAGAATAAAGGATAAACAGTTTTTAAAAGTGATAGTAAATAAAAAATCTTTCAATTTTCTTTAGAAATATGCCTTATGCTTATTTGTGATCTTTAAATTTCTAAAATATCATCACTAAAAGGGGAGTGTTAATTTTATTTATTCAGTAAATAAGTCTGTCATGAGAAAGTTATATTTAAGGGTTTTCCATACATAAGTAAAATTTATGGAATTAATAAATGTGAAAGCAGGATCCACTATGAATATAACACCAGAAATGATCAAGAGTAAATGATAGGAGCTAAGCAAATATAATGAAAATAAATGCTAAACTTACATTATTCAACTAACTGGTATTCTTCAAGTGTCCCAGAAATATGTCCCCGAGTGAACAACAACTTGAGTCTTCTCGGTAACACTTGCAAAACTGAGATCTAAACTGTCAAAACTTGATTACTATCACATGAGAAGATAATGACACTACCACTTCCTCATAACAAAGCATTAGACCAATATTCTAAGATACCAAATGAGTCTCAATAGAGGGTATTCAGTGTGAGAAGCTTCATCTTATGATAGAAATATACTATTCTTATTGGTGTATCAGGGTTTCTTTCTTCCATTAAATTTCTCTGTCTCTAATATTGAAAAGAAGAGTTTAGGGACTAGGTTTTACCCCAATCCCACCTAGGAACATAAGTAATTTTCTGCCCTTTTAACAGTATCTAGATAAAATACAATGACAGGTATTGGTTACTATCCAAACATGTGTTTCTACAATTTCCCTCCCATTTATAATCAGTGTGGGTGTGGGGAAGCTGACTTACCCTTCAGCTCAAGAAGTGGAGAATGTCACAAAGTTTAAATCAATCAAATCCGGACCACAGTGATTCAGGGTTTGGTTTGTGACCTAAGTTCTTCTAGTCAAAGTAAATCTTGGCACTTGGTTGAGAATGTTGGAACAAAGAACCTCAATTGTTTCTCCTGGGTGGGAATGAGGACACATGCAGGTGGCTATGAAAGTGCTAGCAACCATTCAGTGTTTTGGAAGAACAATGTGAGATGAAGCCAGGTTGGGGAGAGAGACAGAAATGTACTAGACTTTTGTAACTTGATTGCACCACTGAGCTAAGCTGTGGATGTTCTATTATTTGAGCCAAATAATTCCCTTTGAGTTGTGGTTTTTGATATTTGTAACCAGAGCATTCCAATGATGAAATACGTAACACTG